TCAGCCTTAACCTACATGGTACAAGTGCAGGCTGCTCAGACCTTTGCTCTGGAAGTGCTCGCATAGGATGTCTTGACCCTCGCAACAGGTCATGCAGAGGAGGTGGAACTGGGAATGCTCTCTACTACTGTGGAGAGGAACTTTGCCTTGGTGAGGAAGAAGAGATAGGATTTGGTGTGTCCTCCTGTGGTCACAGGTGGCTGTCAGTTACCCCACAGCTTAACTGAACTGAGGGGGTAGGTCAGGCTCCTGGCTTACAGGTTTTATTTCTTAGTGTGGACAGGTCTAGAGTGTATGTGTGGCCAGTTCCCATGCTTCTCCTGCTGCAACATAGCTCCCCAAGCTCTTCTAGCTCTCCTAGTCCTTACATTTCAAAAGGCATTTTTTGTGCACACTGCTGTTGTCATGCATCATTCAGAATTTCTGCTAAGCTCTTTGCCTTTACCTGTTATTTTTATCTGGGTATGTTACATACAGAATTTTGCTAGACTTGTGAGTTTAAAAAACACAAGTGCTTGGACAGCTACTTTAATTTTTTTCAGAATTTGAGATCTAGACCTGGGTAAAACTCTCCTCCTACAGCACAGCTTGGAACTTTTGCTGAAGCAAATACAACTTAATGTAATCTCAAGGAGCACAGTATAGGGAGGAGTAAAACAAACAAAGAGCGTATGTGCTGATATTGATGTGAAAAATAGGGGGCTGAATAGAAATGCTTCAAAAGACTTGGGCTGTTTGGGGGTCTTGGTGGGGGGAAGTTGACAGGAAACTGTTATCAAAACCTTGTTTTGGATTTTTTCAGCTGGCCTGTTTTGGTTCTTTTAAGATAAACTTGGGATTTTGTAATCGGTGACCTTGGCACAGGAGTTTTGCAGAGCTCTGCTTGTTGAATGAAGAATAGAAGCACAGTGTGACCTACATTTCCATTCAGTCAGATGGGACTCGGGGTCTCGCGAGATACCAGCAGAATGCTAATTGTGAGCCAGACAAACTAGCTGGCTCCTATCTGGGGGATTTGCTTTTAGCTGAGGACATGTTTGAGATTAGTCTCATAAAGTACGGAAGTGTCCATCAAGGTTGATGCAAGTACCTCTTCAAGTGTGACCAAACCCCACCACCTCACTGTGCATGCTTCAGGAAGCTCCTGTTTGCAAAGTAGGATGTATTTTTACTAGCACTACTACACTGTGAGCTAAACCTTAGGATTATTTATTTATTACTGAGCAATGTGTTTGACAAGATAAAGACAGTTAATTCTGTATAAAGAGGAGCTTCTGATCCACATTAGATACGTTATTTGGGTTGAACTTCATAAAAGATTTTGATAGGAGATAAATGGGTAATGGGGGAGAGGAGGGAAGGGATGGAAAGGAGTTGATCATGAATAGGTCTCAATGATCATGAACAGGAATCAAACAGTTCCTTGAAAAATTATGGGGAGAGAAAACAAAAGCAAGAATTCCCTTGAAAACATGTCTCTGAGTAAAAGCTAGAGAATTATATAGGCCTCAGTCTTTTTTAAAATTCCTTTTTCTGTGCATTTTACTATTATTATTTGCATCCGTGATAATAAAATGGAAGTGTTTTGGGTTTGCGTGGCAGGGTTTTTGTGTTGCGGGTCAGGGCCCACAGGGCCGGCTGCTGCTGGAAGCTGCTGGAAGCTGCCCCGGCTGGGAGCCGGACCCGCCTCTGGCCCAGGCCGAGCCCCTCAGCGACGGCGGGAGCGCCTCTGGGAGAAGAGATTTCAGAAGGGGAACGAACGCCCCGTGAGGGAGTCGGGGGAGCGGGATGTGAGAGGAACCCCTCTGCGGATCCCGAGGTCAGGGAAGGAGGAGGGGATGCCCCTGCAGCCCGGGGAGAGAGGAGCCCATGCCGGAGCTGGTGGATGTCCCCCAAGATGGCCGCCGCTCCCTGGGAAAGCCCACGCTGGAGCAGTCTGTGACTGAAGGACTGCAGCCCATGGGAAGGATCCACACTGGAGCAGTTTGTGGAGGACTGTCTCCCATGGGAGACACCCCATGGCGGAGCAGGGGCCGAGTGCGGAGTCTTCCTCCCCCTGAGGAGGAAGGAGCAGCAGAGGCAACGTGTGATGAGCTGACCCCAACCCCCATTCCCCGTCCTCCTGTGCCTCTGGTGGGGAGGAGGTGGAGAGAACCGGGAATGGAGTTGAGCTGGGAAGAAGGAAAGGGTCAGGAGAAGGTGTTTTAAGGTTCGGTTTTACTTTTCATTATCTTTGTTTTGATTTGATTTTTAGTAGACTAAATTGATTTTTTTTCCCCCCAAGTTGAGCCTGTCTTTTGCCCATGACCATAAGTAGTGAGTGATCCCTCCCTGTCCTTGTGCTGACCCATGAACTTTTCTTTATATTTTCTCCTCCTCATCCCACCAGGGCCGTAGGGGAGAAGTGAGCAAGCGGATGCGTGGTGCTTTGTTGCTGGCTGGGCTGAAACCACGGCAGGAAGTGAGGTCAACTGTGTGATCGGAGGGGTTTTATAATTATGTCTGAGAAAGTAGTGCTTTATCTCATTTTGTTCACTTTACTGGAGGACAACTTATTTTTCAAGGCAGACAGAAAAAAGAGATACGAAGGGTAACTGAAATCTTAGGAAGCTGAGGCACTTCCTCTGTGGAAGGAGGGGGATGTTAGATTTTCCATAAAATTTTCAGAGGTCTAATTAAGAGTTACCTTTTGGAGATATGAATATTTTGTTAATTCTGCTTTTTTATTTGTATAAGCAGCTTAGATGTGGGTTTTGTCCTGATAAGTTACAGTCTGGGAGAGCAAGGAGGAAAGACAACAGTGAAATCAGCATTGGAAAGCTGGTTGAAAGAATCGCCTCGAGGAGGGATTTAGGAAGCAGCAGAGAGAAAAGGATTTCAAAAGGCAGCAAAGGCAGAGAGATGTTTGAAGCTGAGTAGAAGGTGTTACCAGCTTCTGTGCTAGGCATCAGGCACCAACACACAGCTCAAGCTTTGAGAATAAATATCACAGGGCTTCACTGCAGCCCTTTTCCGGAGTTTGCCTGTGAGATGGGATGTGAGAGAAGAGTGCCAGTGTCAGGAGAGGGACAGCTTTTGCATCTAGACTCTGCATTACCTGGTAGCACCCATAAGTACTGTTTTGACATTATGATTAGTTCAAGTCTTCAGAATGATTTCCAAAATAAACTTAATGATCTGCTGGAGAGAGGTAAACTGGATTTTTGGCAGATGAAGTGAAATTCTGGGAGGGAACATACACTGACACCCCAACCCTCACATCTTCTCAGTATTCAGTCTTGCCATGTTCCTTTCGACCATATCCTCTTCTAGCAAGGTGTTTAGTACACAGGTTCAACTTCCAGGTGATTCATGGTAGCTGACTGCCAAGCCTAGTCTGTTAGGTCACTTTGTTCTTGTAGCCTTTCTGATGTATTCAGTGCCTTGACAAATTTTCTTGGCAAGAGCTTTATAAAATGATACTGTATTGTGCATAACTTAACATGCTGTTAAACATCAGAACATCTCCTACCATTCAAGTCCTGAGGTCTGTCAGCTTAGAAACCAGAGCAGCTCCAATGCTTGAGTGATTTTCATAAGGAATGAAAAGTGGTAAGGAAGGTAGTGATTTTTGTAAGGAGTCACTTTTGTCTCTATTTGTCTTCTGCTTTTTTTTCAAATGGTGTTGCAAACAGCTAGCAGCATCAGTGGGGAGACTGATCAGCTAAACTGAATATTAATTAGATCTTCATATGATAAAACTACACTTTCTGTGCAATATTTTAATAATGCTTGTAGCATTTCAAACTAAAGAGCTGTTGGTCAGCTGATTTAAATTCTTTGATATTTGTGCTTTTTCTCCCTGCCCCCGTTTCTGACTATATGCTTCCATTTTTCCCAATGTGTCAAAAAAAGTCACGTTTTCAGGCTAGAAGCTTATTGCATCTCAATGTTTGATCTCCAGTTGCTCAAAGGTTAGGCCCTACAGGAGGTGAGTGGTTAAACTGCTCACAGGTGCCCTGCAACTAGATGCTCCATCTCTGTTCTCTGTGTGTTTCACAAAATAATTTTATCCACAGTTGGTGTTTATTTACAAGAAATACTTGTAAACAACTGGGGGTGTTGAGCATACAGATGTCAGACTGCAGTCTGTGACATTGGGCTCTGTAAGGAAACTTGCAGTTTCTGAAAGCAGTTAATTGTAGTGGATGCACATTTTCTTAGAAGATGACTGTTTTTTCTAATCAGAGGCAGGCATGCTCATTTGCATGTCACAGTATCATGTTGCTCATAGAAAATCAAAAGAATGTATTACCTTTAAGCAAGGCTGACACAGAATTGACATTTCAGCAAGAGCAAGCAAGCTGGGGCAGAGTCCTCTGCAGGCCTTCCTTTGGTTTTTGTTTTCTTTTTGTTTCAACAACCTTTAGCAAGTGTTTTCCTGTTATGTAAAATTTTACTGTAATGAAAACATTAGAGATCAAGAAGTCAGGTATGTCTTGAACTTGCCATCAGGATTATGATGTGCCTTCAAGCTGTTTTACTTTCTGGGGAGGCAGCAGTTGTTTTTAAAGACATCATGTGCCTGATGTGAAAACTCTGTGTTTGTCCAGTAGTGGAAAGGCTGTCTCTGACTTGTAGTCAGCTTGTTGGGTGACTCAAACCTCATAGTAAGGAGGAAGGGTTAGAGCGTGTTTGTGGAAGAAGACATGCTTGCATCGAAGTGGCAATGCCTTTGCTTGGATGGAACAAGACATGGTCCCGGCTTGCACAGGTTTTCCCTGTGTGAGCCCAGGACTGTCAAAGCATGTGTCTTATTGCACAAGGTGTCAGCTGATGAAAAATTAGTCAGTTTGTGACGAGGTTCTCATGTAGAAAGTGGAAAACATGTTTGAACGTGGTTGTTCTGAGACGGATGATAGTAACCACAGTATCTTGGATAATGCAAAGTTCTGATTAGGGTTTTAAAATGTTGGTGGTGGAATAGCTGTTATTTCAGCTTCATCACTGATGGAAGGAAGATGGTTGTGGTGCAAGTCTCAGGATACCCTTCACTGTCCGAAGCTTGTACTGGGCTCTTAGTGCTGGTTTCTGCATGCCTGCAGCTCTTGGTACAAATCTTCCTCTTTACGCTGCAGATGAGACAGAGGTGTGAGGGTTTGAGGATTTGGTTTTTGGTTTTTTTGGGGGTGGGTTGTGTTAATTGTTCTGCAGTGCTAGAGGGGTGTATTTAGTATACATTTCTCTGTGTTGCTGTGGTACAAGCAAGCTTGACTTGCATGTTGGAACATAAGGTAAAGCCTTTCCTTTGTATTTCTGTCACAGCATTTCTAATATATGCCCTTTAAACAGACTAATAGCAGTTGCGTATTCTTCTGTGCCTTTAGCAGTAACAGCTTTTTAGATTTATAGGAGGTATTTTGTTTGTGCAAGACTTGGGACTTGACAGAATGCACAGCCTTAGCCAACAGATTCATTACTCACCATAGCAGAGAGGCTGGCAGGTAGAAGAGCAACTGGGTATCTCATATTTCAACTAGGAGGCATAAGTGTTATCAGCCTTGACCATCAAGTAGTCCCTTTAAAGAAAAGTACGGTATGCCTAAGGGTAAAATACACTCATGATACCATTGGTTATTATTCACATAGTTCTGTGAAAAATGCTTGGTATGCCATGTGTAGGTGTATGGAAACCATCATGTATGCATGTGTGTATGTATGTATATGTATGTGTGTAAGAAAGTTGGATATTTCAATTCAGTTGGTATTTGCGGTGCTTCTGGACTATGGTTCCATACATTTTGAATTACATACAAGATACAGATGGAGTCTTCTGTGCTTTGCTAACTTGGACATGTCCCTTGTTTTCTTTCTTGTTTTTGTTTTTTCTTAGGGTAATAAATGCAGGGAAGAGCACGCACAATGAAGATCAAGCCAGCTGTGAAGTCCTCTTTGTCAAGAAGAAAGCTGGAGGCGCTAATTCTACACCAAACAAGAACTCTTCAACAAAACGGAGGTCGTCGCTGCCCAATGGAGAAGGTCTCCAGCTGAAAGACAATTCGGTAAGCAGAATTCTGTATCTTGTCAGTGGAGAAGTACAAAATAAATATAAAAGGATGTGACAACATGACAGTAAAAGATGTTTACTGAATGTTTCATATATTTTCAGTTACCTCTTATTAATTGTCTCTGCTTAAATACATAACACAACTACATTTTTCTTAGCTCTTCTACTTGATTCTTTATTTCTTGTATTGAAAAATGGTCCTTGCATCTAAGTTTAAAGATGGGGAGCGGAATACTCCTTGGATTTTCCTTCTTGTTTCATTTCTGAAAATATACTCCTGAGAAATTTACTGTTGCAGAATACTGAGAGTTTAATGGCTGTGGTTGACTTGTCCAGTGGTGGTCACTGCAAGCATAGCAGTATCACCGTTTATACAGTCATACAATTTCATTAAGCATTAGACAGTCACTTGGGTTCTTTTCACTGAAGCAGTATTGCGTATAGCAAAGTTGGTTTAATGCAAGTAGGGTAAGGTTGTCCAGCACATTGAATTCAGTGATTTTTGCAGACTATGGCTCCTCTCTTTGTGTGGAGAGTGATGTATGTCATGTACTTGTCTACGGGCAATCATGTGCTATTCTTCATCTGTCTCGTTTCCTGACTGGCTAATTACTTCATGTGCTCTTTAAGCATGAACTCAGGCTCCAGCAATGATTGATAGTTTGTGTTCAACTCAGACATTTAGCCATGTAACACTAAATGCCCTATCTGAATGCTGGACTCGGACAACGTTGGATACACAGTCTTTCTGCTGCTGGGAGAACACAAGTTCTCCGTAAGTGATAATTAGTCTTTCAGTGGACTGTAAGTACCCTTTTTTTTGTTTGTTGTTTTTCAGTTTTTGTTTTACACCAGGTTGTGATTAACAGTCTGCTTCAGTCTGTCTCCCAAAACTCCATGGCTTGGTACACCTTATGGCTGCAGGGGTCATCGTGGTCCTGAGCAGCAAGCATTCCTTTTGCACTGTGTCCTTCCCCACCTCTTCCTCCTTCTGTTCTGTTTCATACTTCATTACTGCTGCAACATTTTCAGACTCTGACAGATTTTCCAGGTTTGCAAATAGACCTGCTCTTTCCTCTTTCAAATATTTCTGTAAATCACCTGTCTCAGTTCCTGTGTGCTGATATTCCTCGTTGTATTCAGACAGTTATGATTTTTTTTCAGGTACATATTTGCACGTTCCTGAATAAAGAATTGTGCCCTGTACTTGCTGGGACTATGAGTTCTGCATGCAGTCATGCAAGGCAAAACAGATTTTTTTTTTAATAGTCTACATTTTAAAAAGTCTTTCCTAGAAAGTCCGTGCAACTGTCTGCTATTGGCTCATGCAGACACTTGGTTCCATATGTGTATTTAGATTTTGTATGCATTAATTATGTTTAATAAAGCAAGCATTTGGCCACGTACTTGTTTGTGTATATAAAACACATCAAGATAATCAACAATGTGCTTGGTCCAGGTGATGGGCTTGTTTGACACAAAGGGCATTGTGTGTCATGCACACAGTACACTGTGCAGGCACCAGCCTGGGTAGACACATCTTGGTGCTGTGCAGAAGTACTAGCTTTGGGCTAACACCACATTTAAGTTTGACAAGAAATGAACATAATATCTGAAGTGAGGAGCCAGCTGATCTGTATAATATAGTATACTGTTTTCATGCTACTTGTTATTGTGTTCTTTATATGTTCTCTTCTTATCTACAGATTTACTTCTGTTTTCTACATGACACTTGAATGAGTGCTATAGCACTCATTATTTAGCTGTGTAAAACCTATTCTTCCATGTTATTACACCACAGCTTGTGAATTTAAATTTGTAATACATTTTCCCAAAACAGGCAGCATATTTCTGGAGAAAGTTTTCTACTAGAGGGCAGTCTTACACTAGCAATTAGTAGTATTTTTTCCTTGGTACATTTTTTGCTGGTTGAATATATCTAAAAAGGAAAAAAAATATGTACACTTTTCTATAATGTGTCATATTTTTATGTTTTCATGTTTTCATACTGTGAATTATAATATTGTGTTTTGCCCTCACACAGCATTGTTAGCAAATATTTTTTAAGGAGTGTATGAGTTTGGTGTTAAATGTGATGAGAGTGCAACTTACTCTGTATCAACAGGATGTAGAAATACAGGCTTGAGACACTCCAGTGAATGGTATAATACTGTCCCGGCAAGCATTTAGTAAGAAAGCCAGAGGTAGAATACTGTAACTGCCTGATAGGGAAATCCCACTGTAACACACCATTTGAAATTGTCTCAGAGTGGTGAAGCCCCTTGTAGAAGTATTGAAGGAAGAAGGGATGAGGGAAGCAGTTTATTGAGTATTTGTCCAATGAAAAAAAAGATTTCTTCTGTTCTAGTTTAGTCTTTTAAAGTGTGGAGCATATGGGAAATAAAACTGGAACTTAACCTGTCTCTTGATTTAACAGAGTCCGTTTCATTGTCCTCAGATTTTTCCTTTTTTCCACAGAATCTTTGAGAAGGCCACATGCCATCTTTGTTTTACCCTGCTTTCCAGGAAGTCTGTGAAACTTAAATGGCAGCTGCATCTGAGGTTGTGTGATTATTGTTGTTTAATATTAACCCCATCAATGCAGTCCTGTGCTTTGGCAAGGCAGCATAAGGGAGTTGGAGATCACGGGTTGGGTGCTGCTGTCATGCCAACAGGTGGACTCTGCAGAGCTGCCGGGGGTAGGAAGGAGGTGGTGGTGGGCCAGAAATGAGGAGGTGGAGAAGTGAACATTTGTTTAGCCCCGATACACACAAAAATCTGAGGAAACCTGTTAAATAGCATAAATACGGTTTTCATCTTGAAAGATTGGGTGATAATCTGAGCAGAGCAGTGAAAGGAAAGACTCTGCAAATTCAACCCTAAATTAAATCTCTCCCCTTCCCCACACCCCACTCCACTGGTGCTTGATATTTGCCCTCTGTCCCCATTCAGGAGGATGCACTTTAAATTGCACAGCTCTTTCACTGGTGCTATTTTCAAATGCCTTCAGCTACAGGGTACCTTGATAATGAATACTGAAGACCATCAGTGAGTGAAATGGGATTCCTATGCCAGGATATTGTCATAGTGACAGTCAGGTTGCAGGACTTAATGTGATGCATTATTAATTGTCACTGTAATGTGAGGATACATAATTATTAATACTGCAGTTTTCTTTGCCACAAGGATGGGACAGAGTATTTTTTTTGTGTGACAGAAGGCTGGTTGCCTACCACAGATAGCTGAACATAGCATCAGTAACATGAGGAGCCTTTTCTCTGAGGAAGGGATGGCAATTGCCACAACCAAAGATAAGCGCTAATGCATTTTGTGAGTATAGTTCCTATTTGGAACAATAATAGTTGGGGTGGGTTGTGGTTTTCAGAATAAAACTTTAGTGGCAACATGATTTATTTGCCTGTTTGGAATTTGCTTCATAAAAAAAATTCTGAGGGTTTGCAATGTGTAGGACCACTTTCTAGCTTACCTGAAAAATTCATCCCAAATTGATCACTATATACTGCTAAGACTGCCTGTTTTTTTTCTATAACTGAGCTCCAGTTATGTATATATATGTATTTTCTTTCATGATTTCTCATCCATTGCTTGACCCAAAACTTTCCATGTCTTAATTATATTTCACAATTACAACACAGAGGAGACTGCTGAACCTTCCTGAAAGCTAGGTCAGCAGTTGAGGAGCCTGAAGCTTATTAAATTTCCTAGTACATTCTGGAAACGAATTGTAAGGTCAGTGCAGTGAAGGATCTGTTTGCTCTTCATGTATCTGGTAGCTATTCAGAATGTTGTTAAATCTGAATCTTTTGAAAGAAAATCTAAAATAAATCACTGTGGCGACCAATCATACTCCCACTTGAGGGCTCTGTCCAGTTAAAACAATAAAATGGAGATCAATGTTTGGAAGACTGCTTTTGACAGAATACCACTAGAGCTAGTAGAAATAGATGTCTTGTTCTCTGAGAGTTTGCAGAATGTCAGTACTTTTGGGAAGAAGTTCAAGCTCCCAAATGTGAAAGAGAGAACAGCCATGCATATGCACAGCAACATAGGTAATTGCTTGGTGGCTACAGAGGTCATCGCAGCTGTGGGAGGAAAAGCAAGGACCTTTTTGTGCTTTTTGCCGCATCTGTGTGCCCTGACTGCTGGCCCTTGTTCATTCTCTGAGTTGCTGCTTTATTTGCACCATTAATTTAATTCTCATCAAATTGGTATAGTTTTGGAGAATTCATTTCTTTCAAATAGGGGAGCTGTTTTTATTCTCAGGGTGGGAGGAAGGAATTTGTTTCTTCTTCCTTTTTTAGAAAACTAATAGGTTATTTGTGGTTATACTCTCTTTGCAAGTTCAGAAGTAAATGAAGCTTGATAGGAATACATAAAAGTTTTTGGAGACTAAGATTTAGGTTACAGTAATGCCGGCAGATCCCAACTGAAGTTAAAGTGTTACTAGTCCAAGAAGGATGAGATCGGTGAACTCCAGAAGAACCATTGTAGCTGATGTAGTCATGCCATGTTCATGTCAGTGACATCCTGAGAATACAGCTCAGGCCCACGTGAGCTTCTCTGTCCTAATTTTGCTGCCTGTTGGCTTAGAGGAAGTAAGTGGTAAAATTTCAATTTCACTTTTTGTCATGGGTTATTGTTCTGGTCTGTTTTAAAGCTTCCCAGTCTCTGATGGCATCTTATTTGACTACCAAGTTCACATGAGGCTTGTTCAATGTAGGACATATCCAGTGTTGTGCTCACAATAATGAGAGTGAATTGTGGTAATAACTGTTCTCCTTTATCTTCTGAAAACCTCTAATACAGACTTTGGTGGGGGCTTGCTTTGGAAAACTTAAGAAAATTAGTGTGTGTGGAGGGTTTAAACTTGTTCTTAATTACAAGTTTCTGTTACAGTTTGGGGGCAGGGGGAGTGTGATGACAAAATACCTTCTTCCTCTAGGTGGAAAGTAAAATACTTCCATTTCGATCAGAGGTGTAATGCCTTTATGCTTTTCCCCAAAGGCAGCACATCTCCAGAGGGGTAGCACCTTTCAAATGACATGAAGACATAAGCTGTGGAAGCATTATCATGTGCATCATGAGGTGGATTTTGGCCAGGGAGCCAAACCCTAAGAGAAGAATGGGAGCAGAAGTAGTTTGATGTACGACTCCCAGGAGGCACAATGCTGCCATTTTGAATAAATGGTTTCAGTTTTCAGCTGAAATACTTCACTTTGGGATACTTGTTTCTGTTGGCAAAATACTTCACATTTTGCATGAATAGCAATCTATTTTTACTAACAGGTTTTTTAGTCAGTAATTCTGTTATCCGTTAAAAATGGCTTAAGCAGAATTTTACAGCCAACTGTTGTGTGAACTTGGAGGGATTCTGAGCCCAGAGCAAGCTAGCACAACTGCCAGTCATGCCTTCGGGGGTGAAATTTCACAACAGGTTTTTGGTGAATGTACCAGACTGGGTAAGTGGGTGGGACTGGCTAAGGAGCTGCGTCAGGAAATGTGTACATTTGTTGGTTTTTCAACCATTATAGGATGTATCCTCTATGATCCACTGTGGTAAGTAATCCAGTACTGTAGGACAATACTCCCTTTTCTCAGCATTTCAGTAATGAAATGAAGAGTGCACAATAGACTGCTGAATTCCTTCTCTTGGAGGAGCTCTCTGCTGTATAGGTGACTATATTGTTAATGCACTAGTTAAGAATATGTTTGAACTTTACTACACCAGCAATGCTATAAGATAAAAAAAATAGACTTTTATGTAATTTTTATAATCAAGGCTTTTGAATGTGCCATTACAACAAAGTAAGTTATAAGTAATAATGTTCATTCAGCAATGAACTCTGCCCTTTGAACAGCATGAACTTGTAGTGATGGTCTATATACATGTTGCTAAAAGAGACATTTTGCATTAAATTTTGGATTTTATAGCTCCGGGCAACAATGAATGATGTCTTTTGGATCTGCAAATGACAATTCATGGTGTTCTTACTCCAACCTGTCTGCCCTGTCCTACAGCCAGTGGTTGGCACCTTTGTGGAGCAGCTGGAACAGCAGAAAGTAAAAAGAGCTGCAGTTTGCAGCCCTGTCCATAAGTTTGAAATAAGCAGTGCTTTGGGCATGAGGTGTTGGGATGCAGGTGATGCCTAGACTAGATGCTGCTCTGTTGTGTAAGGGAGCAGTGCTCGGGTGAACGAAACGCATCATGTCTGTCATCCTAAATTAGACCACAGTCAGCATGACATGCAGATATAATTTTTTAGTTCTTTGACTGCAGTGAGATCTAGGTTATGCTTTCTTAGTATGAGGTGTTTTGCAACAGTATTGCCTGATTCCTGTCCCTTGCAAAATGATTTATTTCTAAATTGGTATTAGTCCACCCACATCTGACTCGCAAGGCAGCCCCACAAACATTTGTTTCAGCATAGATGGGAGAAGGTGCAGGTTTAAGAAGAAATGGAGGGGAAAGGAAAGACTGGAAAGACTCTCCACATGCTGCTGCCAAATATGCTATCATGCAAAGACAGGTTTTATTATGCCTTAAATGCTTCCCTGGGGATTTCTAGGTGAATTTCTCCCCCCAAAAGTTGAGGTTATCTAGGGCGTGACTTGTTGGTATTTTTCAGGCAGACTGGAGCTGGTGCTGCCCAGAACTTAGTCTGCCTCCAGCCCTGGGTTAATGGGCCCTATCTGAGTGATAGGGCACCCCACCACAAAAACATGGTTTCTGCTCAGATCAGTGATAGTGGAGCTGACTTACACCTGTCAGAGGTGACTCTGTGGAGCAGAAAGGGAGAAGTATTTGAAAATCACATCATTGATCACTAACTGCTGAACAAATATATAACATTACCACATAGACCTTAATTTCAATAATAAAGCCTACAAAATTTACTTTTTCCAGATACTCTACCTGTACGAGAGCAGTTGTGCTGACTGGCATGCTAGGAGTTGAGCTAAGATATAAGATCTAAAAGCATATGATTACGCTGAGAGCTATATGAAAACATTTGCATAGGTTTTCTGATCAGAGGGTATGTAACACCAGTACTGTCCAGGAAACTTTTCAGAGGACTGGGAAGAACTAGGCAGTGAAGGGTGTAGGCTAGCATGGTTGGAGTGCGGCTGATCTCACCTGTGTTCGCCATCCTCAAGAACCTCTGCACTGTGCTGGTTCCTGGGCTGTCACAGGCAGGGAAAGCCTGAGCTGTCCCATCTGCCAGCATGGATGGACCTTATCTACCAGTCATGGAAGCAGGGATCATGTTCTTGTTACTAGATGTTAAACTGAGGTCCTTTTGTGTCATGCCTAGTGAAAAGAAAGGTCTGCCACAGAAGTATCGGGTGCTGTCTTGTGTAGAATTTTGGTCTCCCTTGTGGTACATCCATCATTTATTAATGATGTGATTTTTTGAATGATTTTCTTCTGATCTACACAGTCATTAGGAAATTAACATAGTCTCACAGTGGTAGCTGTGCTTGGTCAGTGCATTTTATGATGGCTGTAAGGTAAGAATGATTGCAAGTTCAGCCTTTTTTTTTTTTTTTTTTTTTGAGGGGGTTAAGGAAAAGAACAAAGAAAAAAAATGGTGGGGTGTATGGCAAAAATAAGCATCTCTCCTTTCCGCCAGAGCTGTACTAACACAGTGGGTATTTCTCCTTTTCAGAAAGAAGGTTACCTCTGGGAAAGTTACCTGTGTTTTACCTGCTGCCCCTGTGCCACCGGTCATCTCATTCATGGCTGTGTAACAGTGACCATCTCTTTTCCTTCCCTTTCTTCCCCTCCTGCTTCTCCAGGACACAGATGGGATTAACCTGTACTACTGGTCCCTCTTTGATGGACACGCTGGGTCGGGGGCAGCTGTGGTTGCTTCCAAACTGCTGCAGCACCATATCCTGGAGCAGCTGCAGGAGATTGTAGACATCCTGAGGAACACGGCTGTCCTCCCGCCCACCTGCCTGGGAGAGGAGCCCGACAACCCAGCCACCAACAGCAGGATGCTGACGCGGGCGGCCTCCCTGCGCGGTGGTGTGGGGGCCCCCGGCTCACCCAGCACCCCTCCAACACGCTTCTTCACTGAGAAGAAGATCCCACATGAGTGCCTGGTTATTGGGGCCATAGAAAGTGCATTCAAGGAAATGGTATGTATATCTCAGGGCTCTGAAGTCCTTGTTGCATACATTAATGAGGTGCATGGCCTGAAGAAGATGCACATTTAGGGATTTTTTTAACCTTTTTTTTCTTCCCCTACTTAAACACCATCTGAGTGTGAAGAGAATTATTTAAGAGCCTCAACAGCTTACCTAGTACATCCCTGTGAGGCAGGAGCTGCATCTTAAGCCCCAGGCAGCACCATAGCCATGTTTGTGGATTACTTGACTCTTAGAAGCTTGGTGCTCTTTTTTTTTTCCTTTTTTTTCCCCCCTCCTTTTTTAAGATAAAAATTAGTATTGCCTCACAGAAGCAGATTTCAGCATTGGCTGTTATCATAAGGCTGTGTATATGGGCATGCGCTTTACTGCCTTACTGGAGCAGCAGCAAAGGCTCTGAGGCTTGCACTACAGACCCTTGTTCGTGTTGCCCACAACTACATAAATGGGTCATAAAAGGTCACATCAGGGACATGGATGAGGGGCAGCATACTTGATGCAATGACCTGTAGTTCACGTTAGTGTTGGGGTGGCTCATAAAGCTCAGTAGTGACTGTAGAGACTGTGTGTGCAGCTCTTGCCCCACTCACCCACACCCAACCTGCCTCAGTCATGAAGTACAGTCCTACCACCCACTTGGCTTGTGTACAGCGTGAACAACTGGGAGGAAATCATGACCCTATGGAAACAGAATATCCACCAGCTTCCCTATGGAAGGCTGTTTTTTCTCTTCTGTAATTGATGTAGCTGCTCCGCATCTCCCCTGTTCGCTTCTCCACGTTATTAAAAATAATTCTTGTCAGGCAGAGCAGAGGCTCAGCCTGCCAATGGGTACATATGGATCAGGTCTTGGGAGATGTGATCTTGTTCTTTTTCTTCTTTTTTTTAAAATTTTTTTTTGTTGTTTTTAGAAAAGCCTCTTATTTGAGCAGAAGGTTTTTGAACTAATGAGTGTTTCCCAGAGGTTGTATTTGTTGTCTGAAAAGAAGTATTCAATCATTGGTTTTTTTCTGATATATGTGAATTTTGTTTAGTACATGCATCTCATCAGAGACTACAGTTATTGTTATAACAAAGTGGTGCTTCACTTTGAATTCTGAATAGCAGTTACCTTGCTGGATTGACCTTTCTCCCCAAGAAAATGCAGGCAAACAGACCCACCAACTGTGTTTGGACTTTTCGGTCCGTAGATCTAGGAGTAGGATCCAGAGCTGTGGCTTAGGCATCGTTCAGCGTGGGGCGTGCGAGCAGATTTATGCACTGTGGCTAGTGGGCTCAACTTCTGCTAGCTGAAAAGAAAGAGGATGCATGAAAATCTCCTGTCAGTTTAGTATGCCCTTTTCAGAAAGGGACCTTGCTCCCTTCTTTGTCGAGAAAGAAAGGAAAAGATGACACTGCACATGCACTGCACCCTAGTGGGTTCAGAGCATGCTTAAGAGAGGGACACCGATTTCATGCTTTGGTTGGGGCAATTTTCAGGCCAGAAGACTGCCAGGCTCTGAGTGTGTGACATGACTCTCTCCTGTTGAAACTGGCTCCAAGTGCAGGAGAGATGGGAAATGGAGTTTCATGGGACTGGAAAGCAAAAGTAGGAGAGCTAAAGAAGGGCTGTTTCAAGTGCTTTACCTTATGAGAGTAGCATGTGCATTACCCATCACTGCCTTCCTGAACACATCCGAGTGAGCAGGGCTGTTATTGCCCTGCTTTATTTTGAGTTCACACCTCTCTTTGGTAGGTGTTCACACAGAAGACCATCTCGGCTCATGTCCAGGTACCTGACTGCTTGGGAGGGCTTTTATAGAGTATGACAAATGCAAAAACCCTGGATAACTTGCTACAGTTATGGTGTCTGGGTATTCCATGTACAGGTCATAGTAATCTGTCCTCCCTTTTTCTAAACTTGAAGTTCAGATAATATTTTATTTTCCTCCCTGTGTCTTTGTTCATATGCTACAGATCAGATATCTTAATTCCCACTTCTGCTCTTTATCAGATGGCTGAAGTTCATGTCTTTGCTGTATGACTCTGGGTCTACCAGAATGCAATATAATTTCAGCATTAAGTTTTGTATTAAAGGCAAGTCTTACAAAAATGGTCAGATTAAGAAAACCAATAGATAATTATATCTACTTTAAGCTCTCAGGGGGTCTTGTGCTTATAATTGGTTTAGGCAAGAGTCTTTTCTTTTGTCCATGTAAGGGAGTGGTTCATAAGATCAACACTACTGAGTCTCATCTGTGCTTGCAATGATTGATCTTCCTTCTATCTCTAATTTCCTGCTAACTTACACTCCTAGTAGTCTTTGGGTGAAGATTTTGGGCCTCTTTCACAGCACGTTGTTTATTCCGCCCTATTTTGTACTGTAACGTCACGGATGATGTTGAGTTAGGTCAGTGCAGTTGAGATGTGCATAATGTATGAGGGTTTTGTGCCAGCAGAGTGTATCATTTTACCTGGCACTTGGTGAAAGCTCATGTTTCCTGGACAGGTAGGCACACTTCTTGGTGTTTTTCCCTGCAAAGGAGCCCTTTGAACTGGTGAAAATGCTGAGTAGATACAGGTACCTTTTTTTTTTTTTTTTTTTTTTCCCCCCTCTCATTCTTTTCAACAGTCCAACCTGACAGGTTCATCTAATGATGAGCCCTTTTACTGGGAGCATTTAGCATACCATTAATTTTTTCCCCAACTGCCTTTTGAATTCTAGTTAAGCTCTCCCTGTTTTTGCCTCAAGTCTCAAATAAAATGCAATTCATCCCTTTCAAAAGGCTTTTTAAAATTTTTACCTTTACTGGGTGTGGTTTCCTTTGGACAGTGCTTGTCTGACAGCTACATGCAGTAAAATGCTGCAGAAAGCTGACAGAGGCCAAGTCATTGCCTAAATTAGAAATTCAACAATTGAGCTGTCCCCTTTTTGAAGTACTTCTAGATGGTGTTCTCTGATTGTGTTGGAAGTAGGATTAGCAAGCTTCTGTGTTGTGTTCTCAGGTAATTTACTGTCCTGTTCAAAAAATAAAAAATGCTCAATGTCAGTAAGTGTCAGTGATTACAATTATGCCAGTTGACAGGATAAATAAGCTCAAGTTCTGAAGGTATCATAAGTCAAATCCTCTTAATTTCATCTCTTGAGTTTTAAGATGTGCATTTATAGATCCAGTTCTGGGGAGCCAGGTGGGATGTTTCCAAGTGCTGTTCTGTACCAGACAGAAGCATCAAACTATAATCCCCTCTCTGTATTTAACCTTGTATACACGTGTGTGATGTAATATGTATTTTAAAGAAAGATTAAGGGGGAGAGCACCTATTCCACACTGAACCCTGTTTAATTTTGGATGGGAAAAAACGTCACAGAACTAGTCTGTATTGATTTATTGGAAGGTATAAGTTTGTATACATTGTATCATGATTTTCTTCTTTATTGAGTTGTTGTTTGTTTTGGTTTTTTTTTTTTAGTAAGTTGAAATCTAGACAGGTGGTTTTGCAAGAGTGGTGCCACGTCAATTTGAACAATCTTGAAAGAGCAACATATGTTGTAGGGTTTTCCTTTTGAAAAGTTACCTCTTATTAAATAGCCAGTAGAAACGAGGAGGATTGAAACAGTTACAGGTATTTTGATGTCTTTTTGACAGAGTCAAAGCTGATTAAGGACTTAATTTTGTCTTTATGCCTTCTGAAACGTGCTTTTTTTTTATTTTTTTTTTAAGCAGATACCTGATTGTGCGTAGGGAGTAAAGCTGCTTTCTCTCATAGCAAGACTGCGATGCTGGAGGAAAGGCCGCTCCCTCTCTGAGGATGGATGTAGATGACAAACGCGGTTTTGGTTGTTGTCGCGGTCTGCTAACTTGTGGCGATGACGGTGATCCCGCCATCCCAACGTTCCCAGCTCTGTCTGTCTTCAAGGCCCTCAATTTCCGCCACTTGGCGTCGGCGGCAGCCGGCGGTCACCTTCCGTGCCGCCACGCTTGCTGCTTCCACGCCGTCTCCCCGCGGCGAGCGCCCCACACGCGTGGGAGGCGGCGGGCGGGAGGGAGGGAGGGAGGAGGAGCGGGGGCCCC